TATTGACTCGTATTCGTCACAAACTAGAATTGATTATACCATCAAATGTCTCCAGATCATATTTGACCCTTGACATATCTCCTCCGTGCTTCAACACTTCGACACTCCGATAGCATTCTTGGAAATTGAAACCAATTCATTGATTTGCCCAAGAGATATTTACTTAGTGAAAAATAATGAATTGAAATATAAAAATATAGAAAAAAATAAATTACAGATTCTTAAAGAGAGAAAAATATTAGTCATATAAAATCTCTCAAGCACCTAAATGATCTATTTAACCCAAAGATAACAAAGATTTCCTATCCCAACCCACTCGTCCCGATAGTAAACGGGATAGGGACGGAGAATGTAATTTCATAAGTGGAATTACATTTCATTTTTATGTTTAAATCGTATTTAAAAAATAATTAATTAATTAAATGAGACAGCAAATATGAAATATTTTATGGGAAAAATTCATATATAAGATCTACCCTATATACCATTTCAAAAATAAGAAAACAATTTTTAGAAGTTAGCAGAGTTCGCTCCACCTTTTGAACATTTTTTCTTGATTTGATCAAGTTATCTATAATATACATGATGAAAATATTGGTTAGTGGTTAGTTAATTCATATTGAATTAACACATTATTGACTCGTATTCACCACCACTACTGCTCCGGCGACTGTTCCGATGATTTTTCCGATTCCGACGACTATTCCGATAACCGTTCTGACGATTGCTCCGATTCTAGCGACTATTATAGGGTCACAGTTCAAAAATTTTGTAGGTCACAATTAATTCGTTGGTCACAGATTTCAAAATTAGTTGATCACGGATCAAAAATTTATAGGTCACACGGTCACAGATTTCCATATTAGTTTGACGCAGATTTTTTCACGGTCACGGATTATATAATTTTTAAGTCACAGATAACAAAATTGTTGGTCATGGAATATATTTTTAGTCACGAATTATATGTTTAGTCACAGAAGGTCACACGAATACAGATTTCTAAATTAGTTGGTCACAGATTATATAAATATAATTTTTAGGTCACAGATAACGAAATGGTTGGTCACAGATTATATTTTTAGTCACAGGTTAACGAATTTTAAGGTCATAAATTAAATTTTTAATCACAGAAAACCAAAATGACCAGATCAACCACCACCATCTCTGTACTATCCACACTACCACCACCTTACGATCTGAAAACCAAAATCAGAAACAAAAACCAAAACACCGGCATCACACCTCCATCACCTCGCGATCTGAAAACCACAAACAGAAGGAAACAAAAACCAAAAATTAGGCACAACATCGCCAAAACTTCTGCACAACACCGCGATCTGAAAACCACAAACAAAAAAGGAAACACAAACCACAAATCGCCGCTTCAAAAAACCACAATCACCACAATTGCCAAAGACAACAAGGAAACAACACACATCGCACAGATCCACCACCGTACATCGCAAAGACCCACCACTGCCACATACCACCACCACACCACCCCACAACACACCACCACCACCATACCCAACCACCACCTCAACACAGATCCACAGCCACGACCACACCGCACCACCACCGCACACCACCACGGGGATTGTGGTGGTACAGTATGAACAACAGTGAGCTCAAGTGCCGTGGGAGGCTGGTTTTTTAGGATTGTGCCGATGATGGGGCTGTGGCCGACAGCGGGCGGGGCAGTAATGGTTGTGGTCTACAAAAGCTGACTCAGTAGCTTGGATTTCGTGGCTTACTGGGATAGGTGGAAGTCTACTGTAGATGGTGATGACCGACGGAGGTTGCAACAGCGACGGTGGGTGTCGTCGCGAAGGGAAACGAAGTGGGTGAGTGGTGGCGGGTTGTTGATGACGGGACTTAGATGAGAGAAGGGAGAGGAGGATAGACGGCGGGCAGAGGTGGCGGCTCAGTGGAAGAAGCCCTCCTTCCATGTCGTCGAGAGAGAGATACGAGGGGTGAGGGAGAAATGAGAAATTAGGGATTTAAGGTGGGATGGGGTGGGGTGAGGTGGGGTATATATAAATTATTTTTGAAAATTAAAATTTGAAATCTGATTTTTGAATTTGGATCTTGAAAAGTAAGGTTTCATGTAATTACCACATATTTTAATACGTAGCCTTTCTCATCCTATAGGATAGGAACATTTCCGGTTGAACACGATGAACTTTATCTCAGTAATTTTAATGTACAGGTATTTTGGCTAGTGACTACCAATTGACTCAATAATCTAATATAAGGGCGGACATGATTTTATTTGATTCTGATTTCAAGAGAACTAAATCGAATCATGAACTAATAGTTTTTTGGATAATAGAATCAAATGGTTTTTTTGATAATATGAAACTGAACAGGAACCGAACCATTCAATTCTTGTTTGGTTTGGTTTGATTCTAGTTTTATTTCTTAAATTTTCAGACTTGCACAATATCCGCAAATTAGTAATATATACATAAAAATATATCAAATATTTAGCAAACTCAAATTATCAATCATTCAAATCACAAAAGTCTAAACTAATAAACAAAATATAGTCATGATTTAAATGCACAAATAAATTATCATTCTCATACAAAAGATTGCATAATAAGTAATAACAATGATTCATTAAACTAATTGCAACAGTTTCGACCAATGACCGTTTAATACTCCGTGAATGTTTATTGAATTTTTCTATATTTGCGAAGAATACAAATAATTCATGAAAAAATAGTTTAAAAGTTTTTTAAGTGACTGGCCAATTCCATTTTTCGATCTTGAAAGAGTCTACTCCGTTTATGTGATGAAATACGAAGCAGGCATGTCGCAATTTTCCGTAAATTGAAAAGGAGTAAAAGAGAAATTATTCAAAATAAATACAAAGTTAGGGTGTACAAAATTAATGGGTTGTCTCCAATGATCCAAAAACTGATTAATGAGTTGTCTCCTATTAATAGACCGTCTCGAATGAATACAAAATTAGGATATCCATTAATTAATATATATAGAAAAATAAAATTAAAAATCCGTTCAGGTTCTTAGTTCTAAATCAAGAATCGAACTAGAGCTAGAACCAACTGGTTCTTGTTTTGAAAAACTAGAACAATTAATTTTTTTGTAGAATCAAATCGAACCGCTCAGTTTAGTTCGATTCTGGTTTGATTTGAATATTCTGTTCACCCCAAATCTAATAACTTAGTCGGTTAATTTCTAGGTTAGATTTAATACAACAATGGTCTAAGTACATAATTTTTTGATATGGAATCATTGGAACATGGAGAAAGAGAAAAAAAATGTCAATCACTCTCTGTCACATTAATGTCGATATAAATTTTGTCAACATTTTTCTATACTCATGGCTTTTTCCAATTTAATAACTACGCTTGGGAGTGACTTCTCACTTTTGATTTATTTCTTAAAGTTGAAATTGAGGTAGTAAGAATTTAGAGCGCGTTTAATTTGTCGTTTTGAGGTCATTTTTAGTTTTCTAAAACAATCAAAATGTGTGTGTTTTTTTTCAAAAATCCATTTTCAAAAACAAGGAAATTACAACATAAAATTCAAAATGACTTTTTGAAGTTATAACTTATAAGGCCTTGTTTAATACCATCGAAATTCCATGGAACATGGAAACTATTTTCAATTTCCCAACAAATTCCATGTTTGATGTGCAAAATTTGGCAAGGAATTCATTTTCCAATTTGGGATCCACGCGCCTGAAGTTCTATGTTTTCATGGAATTCATTTTCTTTGGATTTTTGTGGTAATTCATTTTCCAGCTCTTTTTTTCTTTGCAATTGAAAAAAATTCTAAATATAATGGTAAAAAAATTTATCACATTTATTGACAATTTTCATGCAAAATAAAGCCAAACGAATGGTATAAGGTATGCTAATTTTTTTATTTTTTGGCAATTGGAACAAATTCTAAACCCAATGGTAGAAAAAATTATCACTTTAATGGACAATCTCCATAAAAAATAAAGTCAAACGGATACCAAACTTTTAATATTTTTGAGGAGAAAAATTATATCAATCAAATACAATTAATTATAATTCCCTATCAAATAATTTCTATGCAATTCAATTCTCTATAATTCATTTCCTTTCCAAATATTTTCCACATTTGCAATTAAATGGACTCTAATTATTTTAAGAAAACTCAAAACAAGGAAAATGAATTTAAAAATTTCTCAAATTAAAATAATTAATAAAATCACACAAAACCTACCCAAATACAAATACCCATAAAATTAAAATTATCACACATAAGCATAAAATTAATATGTTTTACTAAATAATCAAATTAATTGAAAAAAATGTCATAAAACTATTTCTAAAATTTTTAAATCAAACGCATTTTCTAATTTTTTGTTTTGAAATTTTTTTTTTTTAGAATAACAAACCAAACATATTTTCTACAATTTTAAAATAACTCTTCAAATCAGAAAATATAAAATGAATTCAAAATTGAAGACAGAAAACAGAAATTCAAATCAAACGCACCCTTATTTAGGTTTGAAATTAGTGAGGCGCTTAGAACCTTCTATTTACTCGTGAACTCGTAAGCGCGTGTTTGCACTTTGCCAAACACACTTCTCTTACAACCACCCACACTCGCCACTCGCCACCACCGTACTCTCTCTCCCTCTTGTTTCTCTCTCTACACTAACTCCATTGTTGACTCTAGCCCTGTGAAGCTTCACTGCAGTCACACCTCAAAGCCCAAAACTTTCTTGGCAATAAACTAAAAAGCCCACCTCCAAGATTCTCCGCCGGATTCCTCCATGGAACCCCAGAACGGCGGCGCCCGCTACCGCACTCCGGCTAAATGCACCAAATACCGTATCTAAGTCTAATCTCTAACACATGTCTCAACAACACTCAAAATTAAAACCACCAAATTCCCATAATACAAAATCATATAAAAAAAGCACTGTCTAGTTGAAACGAGAAAGTAGTACATTGATTAGTGCACAGTAGTTAGGACTTGGAATTTTGATTATAATGGCTGCACCTAACACCGCCACCACGTCAGCGGTGGAGTCCACCTCCGTTGCGGTGGCGTTATCCTCGGAAGAACTGGCTGCCAAGGCGGTGCATAAGAGATATGAGGGATTGGTGACTGTACGGACCAGGGCGGTTAAGGGCAAAGGAGCTTGGTACTGGGCGTACTTTGAACCAATTCTTGTGCACCATTCAGATACAGGCTTAGCTAAGGCGGTGAAGCTGCGGTGTTCCTTGTGCAACGCCGTTTTCTCGGCCTCTAACCCGTCGAGAACCGCCACCGAACATCTCAAAAGAGGGACTTGCCCGAATTTCGCTTCAGCTCCTAAGCCTATTTCATCTCTGCCTTCATCTTCTTCAGTTTCGGTGGCTAGTATGGGGCCAACCATTAATACTTCTTCTCCTCAGCAATCCCACAGCCACCCCCGAAAGCGTAGTTCTTCTGGTGGTAGTCGTGGTGAGGGTGGAGGAGGAGGCGGTGGAGCTTCTGTTGGCATTATTACTACATTATCTCCTCACAATGTTCCCCCATTGGCCATTGTTGATCCTTCAAGATATGCAGTGGAGTTAGCATACCCACCTGTAAATTCAATAGCCAGTACTAGTGTTGTTGTTGCATCTGCTAGTGCAAGTCCTCGTGGCGGTGGCGGCAGTGGTGGTGTATTGTATGCTCAGCAACAACACCAATTAGTATTGTCAGGTGGTAAGGAAGATTTGGGACCTCTAGCAATGTTAGAGGATAGTGTAAAGAGACTAAAAAGTCCCAAAGCAGAATCTACTCCAGCATTAAGCAAATCCCAAGTTGATGCTGCACTGGATTATCTTGCTGATTGGGTTTATGAGTGTTGTGGGTCAGTATCAATTTCAAGTCTTCAGCACCCTAAATTCAAGGCATTCCTCCACCAAGTTGGGTTGCCTTCAATTTCTCGAAGAGAATTCTTCGGGTCGAGATTAGATGCTAAGTATGAGGGGCTAAAGGCTGAGTCCGAGGCCAAAATTCGAGATGCAATGTTCTTTCAGATAGCATCTGATGGTTGGAAGTTAAAGAATGATGGTCTTTTTGGGGACGACAATTTTGTGAATTTGACTGTGAATCTTCCCCATGGGACTAGCGTGTTTAGGAGGGCAGTTTTTACCAATGGTTATGTCACGTCTAAATATGCCGAAGAGGTTTTGTGGGAAACCGTTACTGAAATTTGTGGAAGTTCAGTGCAGCAATGTGTAGGCATAGTTTCAGACAAGTTTAAGGCTAAGGCATTAAGGAATTTAGAGGATCAGCATCCTTGGATGGTTAATTTTTGCTGTCAGTACCAAGGTTTCAATAGTCTGGTTAAGGATTTCGGTAAAGAGCTCGCGTTATTCAAGAATGTGACTGAGAGGTGTTTGAAATTGGCGAATTTCGTTAACAATAAGTCTCAAATACGACATAGTTTTCATAAGTATCAATTGCAGGAATATGGGCATGCTCATTTGCTGAGAGTACCCTTGCGCAGTTATGAAAGATCAGATTTCGGTCTAGTGTACACAATGGTAGAAGACATATTGTGTTCTGCGCGGGCGCTTCATTTAGTGTTCTTGGACGAAGTGAACAAGAGAATGTTAATGGACGAGCCAATTGCTAGAGAAATCGAAGAGACGATGAGGAATCCACATTTTTGGAACGAACTAGAAGCAGTAAATTCGTTAGTTAAATTGGTGAAGGCAATGGCTCAGGAGATTGAGATGGAGAAGCCGCGAGTTGGTCAATGCCTTCCACTTTGGGAAGAGCTTAGGGTGAAAGTAAAGGATTGGTGTTCTAAATTTCACATTGGTGAAGGACCCGTAGAGAAGGTGATCAACAGGAGGTTCGAAAAGAATTATCATCCAGCTTGGGCCGCTGCATTCATACTCGACCCGCTTTATTTGATTAGGGACAGTAGTAGGAAATACTTACCACCCTTCAAATTTTTGACACCCGAACAGGAAAAGGATGTTGACAAGCTCATAACCCGGCTTGTTTCTAGGGAGGAAGCACACATTGCACTTATGGAACTGATGAAGTGGAGAACAGAAGGGCTCGACCCGGTCTATGCTCAAGCTGTACAATTAAAGCATAGGGATCCTGGTACCGGAAAGATGAAGGTCGCCAATCCCCAAAGCAGCAGGCTTGTATGGGAAACGTACTTGACTGAGTTTAAATCGTTAGGGAAAGTAGCGGTTAGGCTAATTTTCCTTCACGCAACATCGTGTGGTTTCAAATGCAACTGGTCTTTACTCAGATGGGCGAGTGCTCATTCCCATTCGAGGGTGGGCATGGACAGGGTGCAAAAGTTGATATTCATTGCTGCTCATTCAAAAATCGATAGGCGGGATTTACCCAATGACGAAGATAAGGATGCTGAGCTCTTTGACTTGGAAAACGGTGAGGAAAATGTGCTCAATGAGGTTTTTGTTGATACATCCTCTGTGTAAGATTCCTTTTTATCCCCTTGCCTTGCAGCCTAAGCAATAGGTCGTCGTTTGTTTCCCAATTTTTTTTCCTTTTGATTCTTTCTACAGTTTGGTAGTTCTTTCATTGCTCTAAGAAGATTTTGTGTCAGTTTCTGAGAAAGTGGCGTGTTAGTCATATTACGAGTAGCTATTCACTCTTTAGAATTATCGAGTTTGGAGAATGGCTTCTTGTTTGCAAAGATGAAGCTGATGAGCAGAAGCTGCAGAATAGTGGGAAGTGTAACATTTTTGTTCCTTTCACAATCTGGATTGAATAAAATTTATGTAAGGAGAAGGTTTATGTTTCTCCTGCTGTTCTAAAATAAGTTTATACCTTGTTCTGTTTCTATCGGGTTGATAAATGCAACCAATTGTCTGCAGTTTGATGAGAAATTTTGTTGTTTCTTGACTATTGACGCGATTTTTCCCTTGATAGATTTTCCTTGTTATATATGGCATTTGAGGGTTCCTATGCTACTCCAGTTCTTCAAATTTGTAATCTACTACTGAGTCATTCTCTCGAAACTGAATAGAACACGATTTTAAGATAATGTGTCCAGTGTCATCTTGATAGAAATGATAGACTATTTTTGGCCTAGAACTCGAAAGTCCCTTTCATTGTAACTCCCATTTTTTCTCTTTTCATTGTGTTTGGAGCTGTCATTGAGGCTGACTTCAATATAGATGGGGTTTCACTAATAGATTTCTTTATCCTAATAGACATGTAACCTAATGGAGGTTGGCCAAGTAGTACATATTGTTGGACTGTGTAGAGAGCCTTACTGTAGACTGTCACCCTCAACCACAGATTGTTCTAACGTTGCATATTTCATATACCCGTGAAAAGTCGTACCTCTCACATTGAGGGTGAACCACTATAAATCTATTGTGTGCTTTGCTCCTTTTCTCATTATTTTTCTATTTATTATTGCTTTTGGAAGCACGGATCAGGGATCGATCCTTAACACATATTTATGTTCCCGTATCTTTAATTATTTATCGTAATGGTCTTCAGAAGCTTTTGATCTTTGTTCAATCCAATTGTGAGCGAGATAATTTATTCACCTCTCTTCTTTTGTGTTTATATTATATAGTTCTTTGTTTTGATTTGACCTGTCAGTCATTTTACTAGAGCAACATCGGCAATAAAAGATGATATTCTCCTTCATACTACTGAGAATGATAATTTTTTTGCACTTTTTGAATTTTATCCGAAGTATGGATCAAAATGTAACGCCAATTCAATTTTCTTGATGGCAGAAGCGTTTGATGGGGACATTGTGAGACCGGCAAGACCTCCATAGGTTGCTACTAGTCGAGTTGAAGATTCTAGAGAATTTTTCATTTCACAAAATGCCACGTTCAACTACCTGAGAAATCAGAGTGTCGACCTTTCTATCTGGAGTAGCACTTCCAGCTGTTTCCATATCATACCTATCTTCTGGATTATGTGCTTTTTGACAGAGTCGAGCCCCACCACGAATGTATTGCAAGTCTATTTTCGAAATTTTGGTGGTTACGTAGGGAGAAAAAGGCGTTTCAATTAAATCATATTAGGGTAACTTCTCCTTTAAACATTCCAAAGCTTGTGATGTTCATGCAGAGTATTGGATGATGCTCTTCATCATTGCAAAAAAGGTTGTGAGAGGACCCCAAAGTTGAAGAATGCTGTCGGCATGAACCAACACAAAAGATGCTCGACAGCGATTTGTTAACAAAGAGGAACTAATTTTCCGGATTCCAGTTCGCTTTGAGAAGTGGAAAACTATCATTACCGGGTAATTGCTATAGTATTCGCATTTTATTGCAGTAGTATTATTCAACATGTTCATAGTTCATAAAGTGTCTGTACAAAAAATGAGCTAACTTGTACATGATTTATGACATTGAAAATACGTTTCATGTTTACAAGGGCAGATTAAGATTCTGTGTGTAACTTCACAACATCACACACACACATACATACATACATATACATAGTACAAGTTTTGTGTACATTGTACGGTGTTTTTCGCGTGAGTATTTGAAATTGTAATAGGTCGAAGACATGTTTTAACGTCATTAATCTGGCAAAAGTTCAAGAACTGCCAAATAGATGGACCATTTTTGAGGATCAAAACATTCTGGATTACACTTGGATTTGTCTTTTTCTTTTAGAATTTGTTGTGTAGCTTTTTCAAGATTCTAGCTTGATAAAACTCTTTTGTTGTAGCTAAATTTTATCGTATACGATGAACTAAACTTGTAATCTATTCAATTTAGACACTAAAGACTATTGAAAATACTATCACAACGCAATATAGAATCAGTTATATGAATATTTTCGCTATAATGATCAGTTCATTACTAGATCTACAAGACAATTAGATTCTTCGCAATACATTGTATTTTTTATCTACCGCTCTCTCTTCGAGCCTATTCTAAAACATCTAGTAAGAGGCGATAAGCACACATTTTGAACTCTCGCGCATGTAAACGTTAGTGTCTACACATATTGACATCTTTTTCTTAGTGAGTATAGTCTTCAAGAGCAATAAGCACGCATTTTAACTCTCACACGCGTGGACACCCCGACTAGGCGTATCGGATATCGACTTTTTCCCTTTACCTTTTCTAGATTCACCCACCCACCTTGACAATCAGTTGAAGGTGAAAACTGAAAAATGATATGGTGATCCAACTTTTAGGTGAGGTAAGATGGTAGAAAAGTACAATAATGGAGTAGAGTATTATTATGCTACCTTTGGCTTTATGGCATCTAATTACTCATTTAGTGGAGAGACAGAAATTCTTGTCGGCTGAGATGAATGGGTATTTGTCAAAATTCAAAAGGGTTATAGCAATACTGACTGCTCACCAACTTCTAATTAATTAAAACACTAATCTTTTTTCCTGTATTTATACTTTTTTTCATTGACACCACTTAAGATAAAGCAAGTATAATGATTAATGTAGGATGACAATTTCTCTTTTTCCTCAAGAATCTTTCTTTATTACAATGCTACAGACATTTTGTTAAAGTTAATTCACGGTTGACAATGTTTGTGTTACTAAAATTTACCTTTTTTCCTGTGAACCATACTCAATTGTAGGTGTAAATGACTAGGATTAATTGTTGCAAACTAATTAAGATTATTTTTCTATTACTATATATGATGGGAAAAAAGATTTGCATATGTAGAGATATATAGAGTTGTGGGGTTTTTCTTGATTTTTTATAGCAGTTTAACAAATTAAAAGAGAGGGGAAGGCCGTAAATCTAGTATTCATACTTTGTAACAACCAACACGTTGGGTACAATTCACTCATAAAAAGGCTTGTAACAGAAGGGTAGCCTAGTGATGCGGAATACAATTAGAATCGTTACATTCTACCACTCTTTTCATAATCAACATTCACGACAACACATATTATCAACTGACGACTTTAACAATCATTATTCTACTAGAAGAAACTACTCTCATATCGCTTCATTAGCAACGAGAATCATCTCCATAAGGGTGTCTTCTCTAGTATCAATTGTAAACATTGACTATAATTTACCTTTTAAATCCAGCTCATAACATGCCAATTTGATTATTATTAACCCACACGTCGATTTTAAATTTATTGAAAACACAGCAAGGATGAACTACAATAGTGTACAGAAGAGACATGAAGCTGCATGATTAACTGTTTGGGGGTACTTATTAATTTTCTGGGCTGTGAATTGATATAATAAAGTTCTTTAAATTTCAAAGGCCTTTTTTTTGTATTTTCGGTGTCAATCTTGTATTCTTCCTGTGAATTTGCTTGTAGAACTAGTTTGCAAAACAATCACTATTTTGTGCGGCGTCCATTTCCTCATGAGGACGATGGCTAATCTCAATCGAGCATGTCAGTTTCTCATGATATAAGAACATAATATAAATATAAAATGTTTATTTATTAATATTTCACTTACTTGTGAGTGAGAGATAAATATGTTTTATACACACTACAACAAAAACAATCTATGGCAACGTTTGAAAAATGTTGCCGTAGGCCTTTTGCAACGTTTTCACGTGTGTTGCAAATCAAGGTGTTACCGTAGAGTAGATCACCTACGGCAACGTTTTTTAAACGTTGCCGTAGGGGCACTTATTAATTTTCTGGGCTGTGAACCACTTATAACTTTCCAAGTTGTTGCCAAAAGTTCTCTTTCTTTTATGTTTTCTGTACCAAATCCCTTTGTTTTATTTGTTTGCATTATTGGTCTGACAGAAAGTTCAAATAGTTAGGACTTTCATATTGCAAAACAAGTATTAATTTTTCCCTTCGATATTACAATTGATGGCACGAATAGGGTGTCTGCATCAGTAAATGGCCCATTGAATAGAATATTTTTCATTAAACAATGTTCCAGTCCGTACACATGATGTAATATTAGTTCATGGTAAATAGTCAGAGAAATAAGTGCGGATGCCTCTATGCTACTTTTACCTTTGCTTCACCTACTCGGGTCTCGATCACGGATTTCAACCACGGGACTAAGAATCATGCTAAAATAGACAAGAAAATAGCAATTATGGTATAATATTATGATTCTTGAGAATCGAAAAGATCGGTTCTCATTATTTATTTTTTTTGTTTCACATTCATTCCTTTTTGTTTCGGATGGAAAAGTTGTTAGATTATTCTGAATACATATTAGTTCATGTAAATTCAATAAATTGTGACCACAAAAAATATAATTGTGGGTTCAAATTAAAATTTAGTGAAGTAACTAGAATCGGACCTTTTAAGATGGCAATTTATTTGATCACATCAATCTTAAAGTCCAAATACTTATTTGAGCCTCTTAAACTTGCTGAATTGCTCGTTTAAATTTAATGAATTCTGATATAATATTAAGATTTTGAGTTCCATTTTATAAGGTCAATATTGCTAGAAGGAATAATTCAAATCATAGTCCCTTATATGTTGATTAATATTTTTTTATTTAATCGACTTGGAATTCATTCCTTAATAGAACAAAACCAATTTTAACTAGTTCAATTTTAGAGGTTTCAACCTTTTTTTTTTATTTTTCTATCCCTTTCTTTTTCTTGGTGCCTATTGAAAAAGGTTGGGGCCTTAAATGCCTCAAAACGTTGAATAAGGACCAAAAGTAATGTATTTCTTAAATATTAAGGATGGAAGATGTAATTTTCCCAATAAACAAAGAGCAAATTAAAAATTAAAATGTACATTCAAATCCGAAATTTATTGTTTCATATTTAATGTCCACCCACCTATGCATTTTGTTCTGGAGGGAGACTTAGCATTCACGAAGAACAAACCATATCGTACTTTAAACTAATTTTCGATCTTATGAACCATAGTTAGTAATTAAGTTTTTTAATGTGCCTATTAATTGCTTATAAATTAATAATTACCACACGTTCTAGACCATAACAATGTTTATATTTACTTATTTTATGTTTGTAGAGGTCTATGGTTTGTTTAATGAGGTAGGTAAGTAGGTCCACAGAGGAAAGATTTGTTTTTGCTTACTTCTTGGTAACAAATCTATTTATATCTACTCCAAATATTCACCTTACACAATATTTTTAGTCTTATATCATGAATACACTACAAAATTGAGCACATGATTATTGACACACTTGATTAGTTTGATGTGCAAGTTAAGTATACAAATCTATTATATTATTAATACACCTCCTTTTCTAGACTCTAATATTAGGAATTTACCCATCTTCGATATATGTCTGGGTGGATTGATCCACGCGCTTGACTATCGACCCAGGCCTAGTCGTGTACGATTTGAATTGTACTTTCCCATGTTGAGTCATCCAACGCGAATAAATTTAACATGCCAAATTTGTGGTAAATATATCAAATGACGTGAAGAAAGTTGGACTTTGCATAGTTGACGGCCTCGAGTTGTGGACATGTTCACGTCAAACACGGATGCAGTTACGAGTAGGGCTGTCCGTAGGTCGATTCGATTCGATTCTAAAGAGATTCGAACCGACCCAAAACTTTCGGGTATTTAATAAATGGAACCGTCAGGTCCAAATATAATTATGGAACTGTTCGGGTTCGGTTCGGGTCAGTTCGGTTCCGTACCATAATTAAATTTTTTAATATTTACAGCAACACTGCATAAATACAATAAATAACTAGCCGTCCAATATGATTAATTCAATGCATACAAATACCAAAAAGTAGATATTAATGTTACAGCAATACTACATAAAGTATATTCATTTGCTTCAAATTAAAATGGGCTAATGGGCTTTAATAATGTTTTGGGCTTTAAAATTAAAATTAAAATTATGAAATAATCTGATTTATTTAATTAATTTGCTAATTT